CTTCAAATAGCTAAGCATCAAGTTATTCGAAATCGAAAATGGACTTTCTCAAAATATTAACAGAGGAAGTAAAATTGGGATTTAATACATTAACATCCAGATCATTTACATTTTTACAGGTTTTTAAAACCCCAATGTTTGATGTGTATCTGTGGGGAAAAAGTTGGGGCCAAACATGACTCAATGCCTTGTTGGAATTCTATACATAAATTGGGAAAAAAGGCTAAGGATTCTATTATTAACAACTTCATAAAGAAATATAAAGTCACTAAATGTTCTGAAAGATTTCAAAGATGGTGTATTACATAGATGAAATTCTTGAATAATTATGATTCAGATCTGGATCACGAAGGCCCAATCTAGATGATGTGCTTCTGAAAAATTTATGTTGCACTCTCTCAAGCCTGTTTACGTAGAGGAGAAAGTAGGTTGACCATACAGTGGAAGCAAAAAGATGATGTGATCTTAACTAGGGAAAGGTATATGCTCTCAAGACACCAACACCCCTAATCTCCTTACAAGTCCTTTTAATCAAGCCAAGCTGCTGAAAGGACCTGTCAATTGATATATCGATGTGTTGATTAAAATTCATTTTGGCAACAAATAAGACTCTGAGGTCTCTAATTGAAGAGACATGATCAAGATTTGTGCCATTGATGAAGTAGGAGCTTTCAATGATGAGCTTCTGAAGAAGGTGATGCATATACATTTGTTAGGTTGCAGAGGTAGGTCATTAGATAAGCTCCAATTGTGGAGATCTGATAGTCTATCTTGAAAGTTAGTAATATCATTTGCAGATTTTACACATTTAAACAACTTGAGATCTGCAAAAAGCAAGAGTTCAACTTGATTAATAATTGAACATAAATCGTGTATGAAAACTAGAAGAAATAATGGGCCAAGGTGGGTACCTTGTGGGAAATCTGAAGTAACATTGATTTCACCAGAGATAAAATTTCAATATTTAACAGTTTTAACAGTTTTTCAAGAACTTGCCCCTCCCCTCCTCCCTCTTCAAGAGAACCTCTGATAACCCAAAAGATTTAAGCTTCAAAATGAGCAAGTTGTGATTAACGGAGTCAACCGCCTTACTGAAGTCAGCATAAATGCTGTCTATCTGGATCTTTTTCTCAAGCTTCAAGGATGAAATGATTGTAAAAATCTCAATTGGTTTCAATATTTCGTCCTGCCATGATTAATCTATATCAATGGAATAATTTTAGACTTAATCTTGTCAGTAAGAATTGATTCGAAAAGCTTGCGTATAGTTTTTAGAATGGAAATTGGTCTATAATTGTATACTTCATTTTTAGATCCATTTTTTCCATTCTAATTCAAATATCCCTTCAATTAACGATTTCTCAAACAAGAATTGCAAAATGAATGAAAAATAAATTTACAATTATCTAAAAGAATGAGAGGTATTCCATCAGGACCAGCACTTTTATTAATGTCGAGTTCACAGTCATTTTTTGAGACTTCATTAAGTCTAATAACAAAAGAGGAGATATTATAGGATGTTTGGTCAGAGAAGGTGAGCTTGGTAGTATCAACACTGTTTATTGGTCTGTAAAATATCTAGCAAATGCATTTACAATAGACATACCATCATTTAGTGATTCGCATAAATACTGCGTACAATTTGGGAATCCATTATCAGATCGTTTAGTATTATAATATTTCCAAACACTTTTCGGATTGGCTACGAACGAATTGCCCAAATTGAGGCAGTAATCTCTGAAATCTCTCTTTGAAAAGAATTTTCATTAATTTCTCAGATTTGAAAAGGTCTGGTAAGCTAAGTTTGATTCTTCATTCTATATTCTTTCTGAGCTACAATCTTTAAAATAATTGACATTTGTCTTGAAATAATTTTCAATTTATTGCTGTACCACCCTGGAAATTTCAATTAAACTTTTTTTTATATGAGAGAAGCAATTCCAAGTATTCAATAATAATTAAAGCTGGTATTGAACATACATATTTGTTTTCACTAGGATCATTGAAAGGCTGAACAGACTGCTGATATGTTGTTCATTGTAGCTAATGAGCAGTTCCTATATTAGAATAAGATGTTATAGGTTTAACAGGAAAAATTGCTTTTGTTTGAGAACATATTTTGTGTTGTGGAGTCCATCATGAAAATTGCTAATGCTGATGAACTATTAACACATGAGACTTGACCTCCCACAAGTCAGAGAGGGAAGTTTCCCTACAAATCTTCTACTAAGTGAAACAGGTTCGCGAGAAAGAAAGGACTTCCCTGTTCTTGATATGAAGGTGTCTGCTAAGGGGTTCTTGGAATAGTATTCAAATATGATTCTAATGGTAATTATTAAATATGTTTCGCGACCTTGCAGAAATTTTACTAATACTGTTCTAAATTCCATTGAATAGTATAGTAAGAGTAAAGTGAGAGATAAATTTGTGCATCAAAATTATGGGAAACAATGTTATGAAGCAAGGGTTATTACACTTTATAGAATATTTTAGTGCAAGTTTTTTTATGATTTTATAAATGCATTCATATTTCATATTGTAATCTGAAATTATGTTTAATCTTGTTTTTTACAAGTAATTTTGTTAAAATAAAAAAAATTGATTTTTCCTTATGCAAAACTAACAGTCACGTATTTACACTACTGTAGTTTTTCCACTATCACAGAAAAGTATATGGATACAGTTTCAGATTTATCACATGGTATGAAAACTCTTTTCCGTACCATAAGCTCAGTCTTGGAATTTTCAGTCTTCTACTCTGCAGTGACAGTACCTTTCATGCCTAATCACTGGTTTAAGCTTTTCTTCACTACCCTAATTGATTTCTAAAAATGCAAGTATTGGTCCCTACCATTCTCAACACATCCAACCTCTCTTGCTCTGCACTCCATCCTTCCTCTTGAGCTTTTGCTGCAAGTCTGGCACATGTCCAACCTCTGCAAATCATGGTCAATTGTCCCAACAACCCACTGCATCAAACATTCTAGTCTGCTTCACCCTGCTGAATGTATTATCATGTGGGTGGCTGAGACATATATTGTTGACTATTGTTATAATGAACTCCAATATAGGGAACTTAGTCACTGGCCCCATATTACTACATTATAAATAAGCACAAGATGACTTAGTTGTAGTGAACTCTGAACCTTGGCTATAGTGAATGTAGAAAATACATCGTCGTGGATCTTAATTCCCTTATGGAAAAAATACATTGCCTTGGTACCACAACTTCCAACACAGGCAGCTAAAAAGCATTGTCAGCCAAAGGTCATAATTGAAGACGTTTCGCTTGAGGTGCACATAATGGACCAAAAATTTGAGCCTTACTGATGACCTTTTGCCACCTAATTGCGCACGTTTCACTGCGGAAACAAATGCCTTGTCCTGTGTGGGCTACAACTGGTGGCGGTGATGCACTACTGCTTGCTTCAGTTTTGAGCTTGATGTTACTCGAGATTCCACCTGTGGTGTTCTACATAGGTAAGAGGAAGTGCATGACTGCCACAATCCCACAACATGACAACACCTACTTTGCCGAGTGGAAAAACAATCCATTAATTAGCCATGCCACTGCCGAAAGCATCTCGTGCGTTATATTAGGCGAGTAAAAGAGCCTTCAGAGACCAGAACTGTGTTCCAACAGTGCAAGAGGCATTGAAGGATGTCAAGGCTGCATTACGATACTTGAGAGACAGTGGACAATGCAAAATCAAGTAAGGAGAGCGCACAAATTCTGAAGAAAGAACTAGAGAAACTACGAATGAAAAATGTAGAGAGCAAATAATTGAAAATTGATTTTTTAAGGTCAAAAAAAGATATTGAAATATTCACTTTCTGCTGTTCATGTACTCTGTATAAATAAAATCTCTTCATTATCTCTATATTAATAAACTCAATGATTGTGGAGAACTTGTATTTAACTTCAACATCATGGGATATAGTAAATCTCTGATATGATGAACCAAAAATGTTAGTCCCAAAACATTCACAATAACAGGAGTCTGAATGCAGGAAAGCCAAATTGCAGATTGTAAGACCAAAGCCATTTCTCACAACAAGTAGGCACCAGTATCTTCTCTCTTTCTAAGGTGCAAATCATGATCAGTTTGAGACTGCCACCTATTAATACGTATCTCGTTACTGAAGCACATTTTTTTAGGAATTAGGAATGTTCCTTATTGTGTTTTCAATCTTAGTACCTATTTATTTCGAGACACAACATAGAATGGCTTCTGAAGAGTGAGAGATTAAGAATAAATGGCTTCTTAGCATTGAAATTTTATAATAAATTTAAATATTAAAATAAAAATTAATAACATAAAAAATGTAATTTCAACACTATCTGTAGCCAGTAACTTATCTAGAAAAAAATCATTATTCAGATTTCATTCGTCTCTTTTAAATTGTTATCCGTGCATGAGCTTGTACAATTCTGCTAACACTGAACATTTTAATGATAAAGTAACTTGAAATTTAAAAAAAATACTGGGGCAATGTTTTGCTTGTCTACATTGCACGAGGTGCTGAAAGTGCTCTTCAGTATATTCCTCAATATTGCAATTTGAAAACATCAAGAACAGTAAGCTTATTGGGATTTTACACTATAAACACAGGCTTAATTTTGGAACATTGAAGCATAAGTGTGCTTTGAGTTGTACTTTCTGTAAATTATACTACATTGCAATCTTTATCAATGAACTCAAGAGTTACAGGGCATAAAGCACAAGATTTCCTCCTCCTTTAAAAAATGTCAAAAATATTTTAATTTCTTGTCACTTCTTGTCATACTTATTCTGTTTTTTCATAATGTGTGTAATGGCGGTATAAAAGTATTTTACAATTACCAGATTTTCATTTTCAATACAAAACTTGATTTGTTGATATTTTTGGAAGTTCTTATTGTTAAGTATTAATTAGTAAGTAGTCATTACATTTTTACTGGGATGATATTTTATTGAATACTGAAATTTCTGAAAACCTTTTTTCTTTTTTTGATGTAGGAAAATGAAAAACGCCAAGAGGAGGAACGCATTCGAATGGAAAATATTCTGAGTGGCAATCCTCTTCTTAACTATGCAGCTCAAGCTCAAAAAGGAGACCTCAAGGTAAATATAAAGTTTCCTTTAAAATATATTGCAAATTTAATTTTTTGGATGGACATGCCCTTGTCTCATTCAGAGGTTACACAATCTAAATTGAATATCCAGGAGGGGATAACTTCGATTGAAAACAAAATTGGGAAGTAGTGAATTGGGGAAGAAGGTGAAAAAACGAAGGAACGAGTGCAGGGGAGGACAAGAAGTTGGCATTCATGGTAGTAAGATCTTTATAATTTCATGGAGATGTTGGTGTAGCTTTTAAATGTTCTTCTCTTTCCCACCCTTAGGGAAAAAAGAAGAAAAAAAAAGAAACATTCCATTCATCTCAAATAATAAAAATCTTGTGTATAATACAGCAAGATGTTGTACAGACATTTTATGTTTGCAATATTACCATCAAAGATGTGTACGAGTGTACATCCTTATGAATATCTGGTGCCTCCAGCACATTTTCCAATGCCAGGAACAATCAAAACAATCGTGCAACTCCATTTGTCTATTTCTGTCTCTCCTGGAATATACAATGTAATATAGTTTCAGTAGACTAGACGTTGGGAGGGCTGGGTTCCAGGAGATTGTTCTTACCCTCATCTTCTATCATAACTCGGAGGCGTAAAATGTCTGTACCAAGTGTTTCACAGGGGTAAATGATGCTCTCAGTAGGACTGGGGCATAACAATTGTGGAACCTTGCTTCAGAGTTTTTGAGGGACAGTTGTTTAACTTTTGGAATGATTTAAAGTAGAACAAATGATTTAAAATGTTTTAAGATGAAATTTTATATTATAATTTAAGTACCATATTACTCTCTTTCCCTGTTACACACTCTTACCATACTTTTGTTCAGCAAAGAATGTCATATTTTTTTTCTTTTAACTTTTTCAATTTATATATGTATTTTATTGGCTGCTCTTTGAACCCATTGGTCTCCTGTGGTTGGATCCAGCATAATGACAGTCTCTTATTAATAAATAAGATTGCAGGATTACACTTAATATATGTTATTGTGATTAAAAATGTATGCAAAGTTATGGAGAAATAATTACCTGTTTCAGGTGAAGCGGCGATGGGATGATGATGTAGTGTTCAAGAATTGTGCTCGTTCAGAACCAGAAAAGAAAGATCAATTCATTAATGATTCATTACGCTCTGAATTTCATCGGAAGTTCATGGAAAAATATGTAAAATGAATTACATTGATTAGAGTATTGACTGAGAAGATATGTGAATTAAGTTGTGTTGTGAAGTACTAGATGAAGAAACATTGCTGATATGGGAATTAGTTTGTTTGAGTGAACATAAACAACGGTTATTTGCTGTTGAAAGCCTTGAGAATGACTGTTGTGAAATATTCATGTCCTTGTGCATATTCCCTGTTATGAAGAGATTATAGTATGGATCATATTGTTTTCATCAAAATCTCTTTTGTTATTTCTCTGAAAAGTGAATATAATTCTTTATCAACATTGATTGATTGATTGATTGTGTCTTAATAGCGTGTCACTGTATTTCACGTTTCTTGGTGGAGTGTGTTGCAGAAATGAGCTTGTGCTGACCCAAAATTAATTACATATTTCTTTTGAAGGAATAATTTTGTACCAATAAAATGTACATTGTTAATTGTTTATATTATTATCTTAATTTAATGAGTTAAAATAATTATTAATCATTTTTTAGTTATGCAGTTTTAAGGTTAACTGTGATTTCACATTATCAAAAATAATTTATTGTGATGAATGTTCTCTGATAATTAGAATTGTATTGAAAAGGAGCAACTTATACTTTTTAGAGTATGGATTCTGAAAGCATTTATTAAAAAAACATTTGGTTTATCATTTTTGTATGCAGTTAACCTTTCAACTGAGAATGATGTTCTCTGCACAAGTGTGGTATCTGTTTGTGGCCTGTAAAGCAATGTGCAATGGTTGGTGCAGGCTTTGCTTTGTGCTGTTCTCTTATACTAAATAAATATATGAAATATGCTTTCACAGCTTTATAGGCATCAAATCAAGCTTTACTTTCATATGTATATATTATATTGTTCAATTCATAAGGGGTTCTATTGATATCCAAATCAAAACGTTCTACTCATTTGTAACATCTAACATCAATGTAACATCTAAGGTTTGTGAAGGTCCTAAATTGAACATCGTTTGAAAGAATTTCTGATTTCTTGGACAGTGAGGTGTATGATTCTGTCACGAAATTCATGTTTGACAATCACTGGGGGGCAAATTTTAATGAAATGTGGTTTGTTTGTTTTTTATTTATTTTATTTTTTTCGCTTTAGAACAATATCATTAAGTATAGGAACTAATTTTATATTATGACAAAAGAAAATGACCCATTTTTATGAGTAATGTTTTTGCATTTTTTGTCGATTTTGACTTAGTCATATTATCTTTTCCAGTCATTTTTAATGCATTTTTTGCTGATTTCATCAAATTTAATATTTTAATGGTACAAGTACTTGCTTCAAATAATATTTTTGAGATACAACAAATGTTTTCCACAGAATTCTCGACAAGCCTATTTATTTATTCATTCAGGAATTGTAATGTCATGTAATCACTCAGAAATTGTAATGTAATCTAAGGTTCAGTGCCATTGGCAGTTCAGGATTTTTCGAGACAACTAAAGACATATTTCCTGGTAAAGAACATTCCATACCATAAGTTTGCAAGCTGAGTTCACTTGAACGAATGGCAGAAGCCTCAATAACATCAGTAACATCCAACAGCGTGAGTTGTTCATCCACATTGCTTTTGATCACATTTTTACATCATTTTTCTTTGTTTTTAAAGCATTTTAAAAACATTTTAAGAACATTTTATTCATAATTGTGGCAATGTTTTAGGTAATACAAATTGCACCCCATAATTATCACGAAATACAATATGAATTACCATCTTCAAAAATTATTATTACAGCTTTGCAGAAAATAACTGTTCTGAGAATTCATGTAACGACTCACTCAGTACATATCAACAGTGTACAACAATGTTCATAGAATATAAAAGACCATTTTAACTGAAGCCCTTGGTGAAAATCGTGGCACAATGTTAGAAAATACATTAATTGTATCAATTTCTAGTGAACGATTTGCATCCCACATCAGCAGACTGAGCTGCAGAAATGTTCTGTGCTGAAGTAATTAAAGTGTTCAGAAAGTTCTTTATGTAATATGAATTTTTAAATATTCAAATGTGAATAGTTGTATGTTCAACATTCATTTGTGCAGTATAATTATCTTTAGTATTTCAAGTATGTCCTACAGCTCCACCTTATTTCAACATCCCTCTTGTGTGATAGGTGTAGTAATCAGGCAATGTTTCATTGGATGCTAGAACTTCCCTACAATCTGCCAAACTTTCACAGTGAATTGTTGTTTACTTAGTAAGAAGAAGTAAAGTAATCATGTGCTGGAAAATGACAAACTTTCAAAACTAAACAATGAGAAGTAATTCACAGAAATGCAGTTGCCGAGTCGTGGGCTGAATGCCATTATTGCATTCCTATCTAATATTCCCTGAAGGCCAGCGATTATTATTTCATTTGATAAAATAGGTTTTAAATAATTTATAAAAGATTAATTTGTAAACATAACAAAAGCTCAAATGTAAGAAAATAGGAAATGTGTAATAATTTAACAATTCTAGCTTGTGTAAAACTATATTGTAAGTAATGTAGAAATATGTTGTTCTGTGCAATTGCCTGGGACAAACATCTGTATGTTAATTTTTTTTAAACATGGCGCACCAATCTGAATAAATTCCAGAAGATATCTGATTTTAGGGCAACTAGAAGGAATCTAAAAGATCCATGAAAAAATGTTTTTCGTGGTATCAATCCTTAGGAAAGAGTTTTTTTTATTTCAAGCGGAGGCACTTTTTATCATCTTATTCAGCTAGAGCCTTCAGCAACTGGATTTATCCACTTTTCATTACCAGAGCCCAGCAGTAAGTTTTTCTGTCGAAAATTTGCTTTTCCCCCCCGCAGCATTACATAACTTTACTTCTACTGCGAAATGAGAAAGCAAAAGGACTGAAGTTTAGAACACGGTGCAACTTAAGAAAGTCGTTTAAACCGGCTCATTGCGCCGCTACGGCGTGGTTGAAATCCACAGTGGAGGGGACCTTTCGGTGGGGAGCAATATGCGTAACTTGGTACATACGTATAAAAAGGCAAAGCATGTGCAATATAAATAAATGTAAAAAAATACACTTGTAAAATAATTTTAATTGTTAGTAATTGGTCACGAACGTGACGTCAAAAGT